TCTGCTTTGCTTCTTGGAAAGAGTAGAGGAGCATTGTAGCACCAAATGGAGCAAGGGAGTGCTTTATTTCCCTTGTGTATCCCAGTGTGTTGATGCTTTCACTAGAGGAGTTAAACCTGGACAGACCTCACCTGGAGGACTGAGTTCACTTCTGAGTCCTGCAGTTCAAGAAGGATATGATGCTGACAAGCTGGAAGATAACCAAGATGGTAAACTGGAAACCAAATTGCATGAGGTGTTTACTCTTTTATATACAGTCATGTGAACGGTTGCATTGACTCACACAATGTCCTAAATCCTTTAGGGGTTCTAAATCCCGTAAAGGCACCTGATCGATATGATCTTGGAAGGTAAGCAGGGGCAGCTCTGCTAAGTCCCTGGTTGGCATACTGCTAAAGAATGTCAGGTGCTGTATGTTGGAGCATGTAAAAATCAGTTGGTGAGTGTGTTAACTGGAAAATGCATAGCACGAAGCTGATTGGTTGGGCTACTCTCGAGAAGCTAGCTGAACCTGGGAGTTTTGGCAACAGTTACATTTTTAGGTTTTTTGTGCAGGAGCTTATCAAGACAGTTTTGTATGTTTTGCTTCTGGGCTGCTGGAAAAGGATCTTTCACATGGACACCTAAGGAGTATTTGAATCTTTCTCAAAGAACATTGTATGAGTCAGTGCAACTGTTCACATGACTGTATATAAGTTGCTCTGTATAACAAAGAATAAACACCTTATTCTTAACTGATAATCTGTGTGGCATATCTTTTCTCTAGCAAGACAGTCTGGTTTCAGACCGGGACATGGTACCGAGACGGTCTTGGTCGCCTTAGTGGATGATCTGCGCCGGGAGCTAGACAGGGGGAGTGTGTCCCTGTTGGTGCTCCTGGATCTCTCAGCGGCCTTTGATACCGTCGACCACGGTATCCTTCTGAGGCGCCTTGCGGAGATGGGTCTTGGGGGCACTGCTCTGCAGTGGCTCCACTCATTTCTGGAGGGTCGTACACAGAAGGTGTTATTGGGGGACTCCTGTTCAACGCCACAGCCTTTGACCTGTGGCGTTCCACAGGGCTCTATACTGTCCCCCATGCTGTTTAATATCTACATGAAGCCGCTGGGTGAGATCATCCGGAGTTTCGGGGTGCGGTGTCATCTGTACGCAGATGATGTCCAACTCTGTCACTCCTTCCCACCTGCTACTAAGGAGGCTGTCGAGGTCCTGAACCGGTGCCTGACCGCTGTAATGGTCTGGATGAGGGCGAACAAACTGAAATTAAATCCAGACAAGACAGAGGTACTCCTGGTCAGTCGCAAGGCCGAACTGGGTATAGGGTTACAGCCTGTGCTGGATGGGGTCGCACTCCCCTTGAAGGCGCAGGTTCGCAGCTTGGGTGTGACCCTGGATTCATCGTTGAGCCTGGATCCCCAGGTTTCAGCGGTGACCAGGGGAGCATTTGCACAGCTTAGGCTCGTGCGCCAGCTGCGCCCGTACCTCGGGAAGTCTGACTTGGCCACGGTGGTACACGCTCTGGGCACATCCCGCCTTGACTACTGCAACGCTCTCTACGTGGGGCTGCCCTTGAAGACGGCCCGGAAGCTTCAGCTAGTCCAGCGCGCGGCAGCCATGTTACTAACGGGAGCGGGACGCAGGGAGCACACAACGCCCTTGTTGTCCCAGCTCCACTGGCTGCCGATTTGCTACCGGGCCCAATTTAAGGTGCTGGTGTTATCCTACAAAGCCCTAAACGGTTCCGGCCCAAAATACCTTTCGGACCGCATCTTGGCCTATGAGCCCACGAGGACCTTGAGATCGTCTGGGGAGGCCCTTCTCTCGATCCCGCCTGCATCACAGGCACGCCTGGCGGGGACGAGAGAAGGGCCTTCTCGGTGGTGGCCCCCCGGCTGTGGAACACCCTCCCTGTTGACATCAGACAGGCGCCCTCCCTTATGGCTTTCCGTAAGAGCCTAAAGACCTGGCTATTTGAAAAGGCATTTAATTGAGTGCTATACAAACTGGTAATGACAAGTGGAACGGAATACGGACTATGAGATTGGCTATGATTCTATGTGTGACGATGCGGATTAGCTTAGTGTAAATTAGTTTAGTGTGTATTAGTGAAATGCTGATTTTGTTGTGCTTCATTGTATACTGTTTTTATATGTTGTACACCGCCGCGAGTCGCCCTAGGGCTGAGAGCGGCGGTTAACAAATGCAATAAATAAATAAAATAAATAAAAAAGACAGTGTGTGGACTGGTAAAGACGTGAACTATGTGTGATTTTCATTCTGCCACATGGTAGGCTATATTCCAGAGGAAGGAACTGGCAGAACTACCTCTGAGAAATTCATGGGGTTACCATAAATTGACAGGTGATATGAAGGTATATGCATAGACACACACACACACACACACACACACACAGCCTTCTTAACATACTCGAGGATGTAGAAAGTGAAGCAAGCTTGTTTTGGGGGCATGTGTAAAATGTGAACCTAGTGGTTGCAACCCAGTTTAGGAAAAAACAAGGGTGTATGGCTATCCATTTGCCATTGGACTGCACCCAACCAACACGACCAGTTGAGTGAAGATGTAGCCAAGGGAGATCTAGAGGACCACCTTCAACTTCAGACTGGTCAAGTTGGGGAAAACACTGGCGTGTAAATACGATAGACAGACATACAAATCTTCCTTTTCCTTGCTTTAGTGACTTTTAGCAGACCTATTGAAGACAATGGCTTCATCTACACTACCATATAATGCAATTTGAAACTGTATTGTATGGTCAGTGTAGACCAGTGTTCCCAAACTTTGGACCTCCAGGTGTTTTGGACTTCAGCTCCACAGTTCCTAACAGCTGGGAAGCTGTCTGGGAGTTCTGGGAGTTGAAGTCCAAAACACCTGGAGGCCAAAAGGTTGGGAACCACAGATGTAGACTCATAATGCAGTTAAACCAGACATGGGCAAACTTGGTCCTTCCAGGTGTTTTGGACTCCAACTCCTACCATTCCTAACAGCCTCAGGCCCTTTCCTTTCCCCCCTCACCTGCTTAAGACTGAAACGTGATGGCTTTGCTCTTCGCAGAATGATGGACGTATTTCTTACAGTGATGGGTATTTATCATGTTATTGCCTATGCCTCTGGTATCAATAAATTCTTTTGGAGTTGTCGAAGGCTTTCATGACTCTAATCACTGGGATGCTGTGAGTTTTCTGGGCTGTATGGCCATGTTCTAGAAGCATTCTCCCCTGACGTTTTGTGCACATCTGTGGCAGGTATCCTCAGAAGTTGTGAGGTCAGACCAAGGCAGGCTTTGAAGCTGCAGGGCCATTCAATGCTAATCAAGGTGACCAACTGCAACATTCACACTTGCCTCCAACAGACAAGAGTTCTTTCTCCCACCCTGGATATTATCCTACAGATATATACCCCTCACTCGCCTAGTTTCCAACAGACCTCACAACCTCCGAGGATGCCTGCCATAGATGTGGGCCAAATGTCAGGAGATAATGCTTCTGGAATGTGGCCATACAGCCTGGAAAACCCAGTAATCTTTTGAAGTTCTTGCCACTCATTTAGTATCAGCAGCAAATTGGACTTCTCCACTCATTAGCCCTAACACCAGACAAATGGGTTGATAGGCATCAGATCACAATACAAACACCTTGGAGGAGCCACTATTTTCACTCCACAATTGCAAGAAGCACCAATTTATTCATATGCTTTGCTTTAAGCAGTTACTAACCCAAAAAAGGAATCCTGACATGCATATTCTTTATTCCTTGACTACTAAATTATTCTGAGATCTTTCCAAAGGATGTTGTCAAATACTTATTGAAAGATCAAGCACACAGAGCTTGCCAGACCACCCTTATCTATGTGTCTGACATCCTCAGCTCCAATACATAACCGAAAAAGGGGGTGGAATTTTCCTCTCCTTATTAAGTAAAAGGGCTGCTTGTGAATATTTGATCATGTTCTCTTTAGCAGAGCTTTAATTTCAACCAATTTACCCAGAACAAGTGAAATGCTCACAAAGCACTGGGTCAGAGACCCAACCAGTGCAACTCGTAAGAACCGTTTTAATAGATGATCTCTACATAGAAATAAATTGAAGGTCCAGGTCTCTCTGTAATGTTTAGCTGTCACTTTCTCACTCTTCAGGCAATTTATTTAGTATTATAATAAAATCTGGAGAGAATGAAAACAGTTTCAAATATTATTCTCCCTTATATCCCTATTTGAATGACAAATTTCATAGGGCAAGAATATAGGCTTTATGGATTCAGGCAGGACTGTGCACATGATGGAGCCAGTTCACATCTTGGTTTCCCCCTTTAAAATGTTGTTGAATTGAGTTTATGTTGTAGTTAATAGTCAAACGCATGGTTCCTGTTGTGGAATTATTTCACTCAGATAATCTGTATGAAGGTGCAGTGGGTTAAACCCTTATGCTGGCAGGACTGAAGACTGACAGGTCAGAGGTTCGAATCCAGGAAGAGTGCAGATGAGCTCTCTCTTTCAGCTCCAGCTCCCCATGTGGGGACATGAGAGAAGCCTTCCACAAGGATGGTAAAACATCAAAACATCTGGGCATCCCCTGGGCAACATCCTTGCAGACAGCCAATTCTCTCACACCTGAAATAACTTACATTTTTTCAAGTTACTTCTGACACACACACACACACACAAATCTGTATGGATGAATGTTTGTGAAATAGGATTCTTCCATGAAGCCCCCTGTTTAAAGGCTTTGCACTTCGCTCTATTACAGAAAAGAGCTCTGAAATGTGACTTTTTTGGATCAGAACTCCCAGAATCTCCCAGCCAACACACACACACACAATTACACACACATCTGACCTGTTTCAAAGTGCTCCTTTCCCCACAGGCCTCATAAATCCGTAGACATCAAGAGGAGTCAGCAAGCTGTTGGTGCCACACCTCCCACCCGACATCCCAAAATAAAATTAAAGGAATGTTGTGTTTCCATGAATGCAAGAGGTCCTGGTCCAGTCCAATCCATCTTGAATTTTATGTTTTCCGGTTAAGGTTTTGTGAAACACTGTATCAAACTTTGTTTTTGTACTAAAATACAGATATATATTACAGCTACTGTATTCCTTCCTCCACCAGCCTTGCCATTGTCAGTCAGTCAGCAATCCCATTTCTCCAACACGTTACATGTTTGCATCTTGCCCTCGCCCTCCCTGCCGCCCACCTCCTTTGCCTCCAGCAATGGAGTAATCTTACACACAGGATGCCAGGGAGCCCTGGTTGCTTGTGGAGTTGCCCTCTGTATGCTCCTCCCTCCTTCCCGAGCGGCTTGGTCCTTTCCCAAGGTGTTTTGGACCTCCTTGGAATGACTGGAACCAAAGCAAGATGTGTGGATTATAAAGAGGTCGTGTGTACGGATGGACACAACTGGGTCTACAAGGCAGGCCAGGTTTGTCCCTCTCTCCCTGCCCATGTAGCAATGATTCCCTGATGCTTTGGGACAGCCTTGCGATTTAATCTAATGTGAGTCCCATTGACTTCCAGCCCAAGCATGCATGTCAGAGAGTAAGGCCTGTGGCAATTTTTGATTCTGGATGTAATGGTCTTAGTGGGGACTGTATCTAGTGCTGATTGTTTCAAACTGTGCCAAGACAGTCCTACTCCATCTGGGTCTCTCCTATGAGTAGGTCCGAGATTTGTGCCCCAAAATCTTGCCCTGGAGGTACCACTGACAATAGCTTTAGTGAATGGGAATTGGAGCAGCTCAGTTCACAGACATCCCCTCCGCCCAGCCTTGGTTGCTTACATTCCTCAGTTCATGTAATTTGGCTCTGGATGTGCTTTAGGACGTCGGGGAAAGAGCAAATGCCTTGGGCTCTTCCGGGTGGCATCTCAGCCCTTGGCAGCCAGTTGTCAGTGCATTCAGATGTATTAAGACAAGCCTTAAACTTGTCTCAAAGTGGGATCATACACTGCTCTAATTGTGAAGGGTCAAAGAGCTCCTGGGTTAGCAAACCTTGTGACTTGACCAAAATACCGTTGCTGTTGTGCAAATACACCGATGAAGCATCCATCCCAAATCCATGCTGGCTCTTTCCCATGAGGACAAACAAGATAGTTTCCTAATTGCTAATCTTTCCACAGTTTAAAAAGAACAGAGTGTGGAAATCCAATAAAGGACCAAGGTGTCTGGGGAGTGGTGTTAACTCTTCCCTTCTTTTACTGGCTGGAAAATACCCTCTGAAGCAGCTGTTTATTCTGGCGAGGGGAAACATATTTATCTCAGCATCAAACAGTAGCTTGAGGAGTTGGGGATTCATCTGGGAAATGCTCTCCTAGCACCAGAGTCTCTAGCACCGTCTCCCTCCCATCTTCCCAGCAGCTATTAAACAGCTTATGACTCCAACACTGCTCTCCTGCTGTCACTTCAAATATAGGTCCCTGGACCTTAATGCTACATTAGGGTTTTATGCAGATTTCCTTTGCTTGAAGTGTTAGTTTCTAGCACGGTTCAGGTCTCTCTTCGTGAGACCTTGACTTGTTGTAGGTTATGCACTCTGTAAACTGAAATGGATGTTGGTCCACCTCCAGTTATGTAAACAAATGTATTTAGATGCAAAAATAACTAAAGTGCAGATAGCATTTTAAGGGGAAATGTGTGTTTCCTGGAGGCTTCCAGTAACAATTTCTTTTAAAGTGTATATTGGGGTGGGGACTTTGGGTCATGTGTGTGGACTTCTTAGGCCTCCGGGCAACACAAAATCAGACCTGAGCGCTGGGTCAAAAGCGGGGTCTGCGGGCTAGTGCCAGTCAGCGAGCCATTGTTGCCAGCCTGCAACAATTTTCCAGTTTCCAACTGTAGCCGATGGGCACAAATATGATGCTTGTCTCCTGCCAGTCTGCAGTATTGGATAGCTTAAGAAGCACTGCTTCAGGCTCTCTTTTGTGTCTGATAATTTACACCATTCACCAAAAGTCCCACTACTTGACAAGGGTTAAGTAGTTCACTTTAGGCAGGCAATTTAAGATTTCTCTTAAAAAGGTTGGCAAATGGTCAATTCAGATTACAGTTTTACTACCATTTGGATTCAGGTTTTCTTCCTTCAGAATAAGCTTAAGCCGTGTTTGCATTATGTCCTGACCTCTCCTTTGGTTACCTGACCTTCTCTTTTTCCCCCTCCTTCTCTTTCTCTACCTCTTCTATGCCTTTAGTGTTTTTGGCTCTGAGAAAAAAGTGTTCCTGGGGATTGTTGCCAAGGCAGCTGTTCCTTGTGTCACAGCCATGTAATGCCAATTGCTACTGTGGGGAGGAAGCTGGGAGGCAGTATGACCCAGGAAAGGGCCATCCCACAGGCTGAAATACTCTGCAACATTAGTCTATGTTTGGCCTCACCTTGGTAGGGAAACCCTCCCTGCACATGTTTTGAGATCTACCTGATCAGAGTCCAAGGGTTGCACTTGGGGATCTATTTCAACATTCACCTAAAATGTGGATAGGGGTTAGGCTTTGTTGGGACATGGCTGTCTGGAGGAGCAGACATCTGGGGCAGGACATCTATGTACTGTTTTTCTGAGACTGAATGGGATGATGTTTACTCCTCCTGTACATTAGTCCACAACATGGGATATGGTGGAAACCCACTTTCGCAGGATGGGGAGGGTATTAGGACCACTTCCTCCCACTTCCCAAGGCGTGGAAGCGAAAGCACCTAATATGCCCAATTTTCCTATCTCAACTCCATGTTGCCTGGTTGCTTCCACTCAGGAGACAGAGCACCATGTGGTTGAAGTAGGTGGAGTGAGGCATATGCCTCAGAACCAACCTGTGACCACAACCTAGCAAGTTGTCATTCCTGTCCACAGCTAAGAGGAGAGTCTTGCTCCTACCCTTTACCTCTTTCCTCCCCATGTTCTCACAATCAAGTGGGGCCTGGCCAAGGGTTACATTCAGTGTTAGAAGAGTCTCCCCACCCAAGTTGAGATGCTGGAGCTCCCTAGAGAGAGCAGAGCCCAAACCAGGCGACCAATCTTTCAATCCCTCCACTTTCCCCCCTGTATGCTTGAATGCACAGCTGCATTACCTGGGCAGAATGAGTGGAGAATGCAAAGTTCTGGTGGCTGAAATCCCCAAAGAGAAGGGGATTCGCTGCTCACCGTTACCCTGTTCAGAGACGATTTAATTTACACACAAAAGTATATCAAATGGACCAGTCTTAGGTGCTGGGCGGCCCCAGAAGGCCGTACGTACAGGTGAGCAAAGTTGCTGAAAGGTTAAAAATGGGGGGTGGGAGGAGGAGAGATGAGGCAAAGAGGTGGCCCTGGTGGAGTCTATTGCAACAGTAGCATCTTGGCACCAACTCTTGATTTTGGGGAGTGAGGGGGGCACTGCGGGGTGGGGAAAAGGGAAGGGGGGCTGGAACCTGTTGAGAAGATTCGTCTTTAAAAATCCCAGGGGGCATCATTGCTTTGAAACACAACAGTTGGTGTTCACTCTTCCTTTCCCCCAAAGTGATCAGGTTCAGGGTAGGGTGGCATGATCTCTGTGTCAAACTTCCATCCAGCGGCCGATCAGCAGAGGGGAAGGGGCGGGGGGCATGAGCCGAAGCTGGCGAATCAGGAGGGATGGATGAGTCTCTGGAGGAGGCGCTCATTCGTAGGTGAGGAGGTCAGAAAATTCAGAGGCTTCTGAGTTGGATGGTTTCGTCTTTTGTGTTTCCCTCCCCCCAAGTTGGCAGCAGCAAAGGAAAGGCAGTGAGGGAGATGGGCAGGGATGGAGGGAGGAGTCCAGTCCAGATACCAAGGAGTGTTGGGGCCCTCCTGCCTCTTCTACATTATATCCTCTGTGGAGAAAAGACAGAGTGTCAGTGACACATGCTCGGCACAATTGAGGAATAGGTAGTATTACGGACAATTCTGCATGGCAACAAGAAAGCAGACAGGCAGGTAAGGTTCTACTTCAGCATGACCCACATTTGGCATCAAGAAAAGCTGGATTTTTCATTATCATGTGAGAGAGAGCCTTCTCGGTAGCTGCTCCCACCTTTTGAAGCTTGTCTTCCACAAGAGGTTGGGCTGGTCCCCACCTGCTTTTCTTTTGCTGTTAGCTGAAGACATTCCTATTTAAAATGTGGGTAGGGGGGCTTTTATTTTATTTTAACTGGGTCATCTGTTAGGAACCCCACCCCCAGCACCAGCTGACACTCTGGAGCCAGAGTGAAGAAGAAGAGCCAAAAAGAAGACAGTTCCATCATGTCTCCTGGGTCATCAGTTGGGATCCCCTCCTCCCAGCAACAATATAGTAATATATAATACTAAAATTGCAGTGTGCTAATATTATAATATATTGTATACACATAGAATATTGATAATAATATTATAATGTAATAAATATGATACTAATAATAATACAATATAATAATTATATATTTTATATTACATGTAATATTACTAATAATATAGAGGTATAGTGCAATATAGTAATATATAATACTAATATTGCTATGCTAATAATATCATATATTGTATGTACATATAACTTGTAAGCCACTCTGAGTCCCCTTTGGGTGAGAAGGGCAAGATAAAAATGTCATAAATAAATAAATTTAATTAATTAAATAAAATTTATTTTATTCTTTCTAACATCCTCACTACCTCTGAGGATGCTTGCCATAGATGCAGGCGAAATGTCAGGAGAGAATGCCTGTAGACCATGGCCATATAGCCCGAAAAAACCTACAACAACCCATATTTTTAAGTGTTTTATACTTAAATATACTGTTTTATAAGGCCCCTCTGCTGGTGCAGTGGGTTAAACCACTGAGCTACTGAACTTGCTGACTGAAAGGTTAGTGGTTCGAATCTGGGGAACGAGGGGAGCTCCCGTTATTAAGCCCAGTTTCTACCAACCTAGCAGTTCGAAACATGCAAATGTCCCCAGGTATTGTCACATGCCTGGTTAGGAAGACATCCTTTTGGAGACTGCTCTCCTCCTCCTTCCTGGTTGTGTCGGCACCTCTGCTGATGGTGACAACTGGTTGTAGTAACACAAGATGGTGAAGTTGATGGTCCAGCAGTCGCAGCCTGTCTGGACCATGTGGACACAGAAGCAGCACCACAATGGATGTGGCAAGGTGTGCGAGGCCACATCTAGGGCCAGTCTGGATCATTTTTGCTCCAGACTGACCGCAGATTTACCAGCCAATGTAGACTTATCGTGGGGTTGTTGTGGTGTTGATCTGAGTTCCACTACCTTCACAGACACATTTAGTGAAGGCTCTGTGACTGCTCTCAGACTGTGATCATTCAATGCAATTTCAAACTGATATTGAAGATTTGCTATACATATGATTGTATAATAAATCCTGGATGTGATTACACAAACCACAAAGGACTGATGTTTATTAAGGGCTTTCATTCATGTGTTTTTTTTATGAGAGTTTGTTGTTTGGCCACCACAATTTGAAGCAAGCTTCAAACTGCATTAAATGATCAGTGTAGATGGGGACTGTGGAGCTCATTTCCATGGGAAGTCCAGTTTCCCCTTCCTTCTCTCTTTTTACTGTCTTCATGTAGTTAAGCTTTTAAATTGTGAATATTCATTATGGACCTTTAGCATATGTTGATCTTGCCATTTTATGTAAGAGGCAACATTATACAACGCCATTATACAGGGTTAGTCAAAATGAATAGGCCAATAAGAAAATTAATTTTAGACGAATGTATGTTTATTGTAACCAAACTACAGCTACGTAGCGACAGATAAACTATCAAAGTTTTGTCTCACCTTCAGAGATGTTCGATATGGGCGCCCCGTGTGACACGGCAGATGTCCAAGCGATAGTCCAGTTCATTCCACATCCGTTGCAGCACATCCGACGTAATGGCATCGAATGCAGCAACGTCTGGGAAGGTGTTCGTTGAGGTCCTAACCCTAACCCTAACCCTAACCCTAACCCTAACCCTAACCCTAACCCTAACCCTATCCCTAACCCTAACCCTAACCCTATCCCTAACCCTAACCCTAACCCTAACCCTAACCCTAACCCTAACCCTAACCCTAACCCTAACCCTATCCCTAACCCTAACCCTAACCCTAACCCTAACCCTAACCCTAACCCTAACCCTAACCCTAACCCTAACCCTTGAAATTCTCGCTGGACCGTAATTACTGACATTGTTTTAGCAAATGTCATCACACAAAACGCCTTCTCTTTGCTTGATTCCGCCATTTTGAAAACAGCGACCCTAGCGACGCCTAGCGGCATTAACGTACATGTGTGTTGCTCAAAAAAAACTTTGATAGTTTATCTGTCGCTACGTAGCTGTGGTTTGGTTACAGTAAACATACAGTCGTCTAAAATTAATTTTCTTATTGGCCTATTCATTTTGACTAACCCTGTATATAATGGGACTTGAGCATCCATGGTTTTTGGCATCCATGAGCAGTCCTGGGACCAAATTTCAGTGCATACCAAGGGCCAACTGTATTTAAATTATTGCAATCCACCTGAAATCTCATTTTTGGAGACAAAGAAACATATAAATACGTGTTGAATGAACACCTGTAACCCTGGGGACCATGGGATCCACGGGTTGGAGCCACACAAACCAGGGCTTCTGTGACATGTGACACCATTTCCATAGACAGCAGAGAGAGACAAACAGGGGTTGAGACAACTCATTCATGTGCATCTATTCTGCCTCTCACTCCCTGCACTTGCACTCAGTCTCACACAAAACTTTTTCATACCCTTCTCTCTGTCACATTCACTCTCATTCATGTACTCATTCATTCACACAGTTTCTCAGCTACTCGCCTTCTTTCTCTCGCTGGACAAACAGTGTTACAATATCCTCCGGACATAATACAGACATGTGAAGGTAGGACATGACAAAACTAAACTAGGATGCCCCACATACACTAAAGGGGGGGGGGTAACAAAGAGGAGGCCACATCAATACACAGAACTTACCGCAGTGCCAACAAAATCTGTTGAAAATATAAAAAGAGAAAGTTAGGATGCCATGCTGTTGTGTCAATGCTCTCTAAGGCCCCATCTACAGTGCCATAGAATGCAGTTTCAGAAAGTGGATTAACTCTATTGAACTGGGTTATATGGCAGTGTAGATTTATATAATCCAGTTCAATGCTGCTCAATCCGCATTATATGAGTCTATGAACCATCACGAAGTTTAAGATTTTCAGGAGAGGCCATGCTCTCAATCCCACCATTACTGCAAATGCAGTTGGTGGGAACGAGATACGGGGCCTTCTCGGCAGTGGCCCCCCATCTGTGGAACTCTCTCCCCAGGGACATTAAGTTGGCCACCTCCCTCCTGTCCTTTAGAGGACAATTGAAGACATGGCTTTGGGACCAGGCGTTTGATTAGTGGACAGCGGCAATTGAAAATGCGACATTGAAAGGACAGGAGGGAGGTGGCCAACCTAATGTCCCTGGGGGGCCACTGTCGAGAAGGCCCTGTCTCTCATCCCCACCAACCGCGTTTGCAATAGTGGTGGAGGCTCCTTCTTTGGAGGTTTTTAAACAGAAGCTAGATGGCCATTTGTCAGGGGCGTTTTGAATGCAATAGTCCTGCTTCTTGGCAGGGGGTTGGACTGGATGGCCCATGAGGTCTCTTCCAACTCTATGATTCTATGATTCTATGAATCTGCCCAGACTTGGATTTGGTTTTAACTGGCATGTTTAAGTTACTGTTTAATGAATTGTATAATATGTTTTAATGATTTTAAATGTTTTTAATATATTTTGGACTGTTTTACATGTCGATAGCATCGTATGGTGCTTGTGTGAGGCCGCCCTGAGTCCCCCCTTTGAGGGGAGGGAGAAGGGCGGGGTAGAAATGCATGAAATAAATAAATAATATAATATAATATAATTCAGTTTCTGAATCCCGATTATCTACTTTAAACTGGATTATATGAGTCTACACTGCCATATAATACAGTTCAAATCAGATAATCTGGATTCAGAACTTGGATTATATGGCAGTGTAGATTCTCATTCTAACAATAATGTAGTCCAAACTGTATTATATGGCAGTGTAGATGGGTCCAAAGACGGACTTGGGTGTATAGTTATCCCTCCACATTTGAGGTTTTGACTTTGGGAGATGTCATTATTCATAAATCTGATTAAAGATGCTCTCTCTCCAGGAAACTCTAGGTCCACCAATATGACTCTATAACCCGCTTCCAGGGAAAAGCGACCGCAGAATCATGCTGGAAGACCTAGAAATACCTATAAAGGTATTCTCTTAGGTACAAGATATAGCAATGTCTTTATTTACGAGTCTCTCTTTCATGATGGCCCTGAACTCCTAACCCCAGCAAATATGGAGGGATGACTGTATTTCCACACTCAAGGGCTTCCTCAGTTTCCCGGCTGCTACCGTGGAATTTGTCATAGTTGTGCCACAGACTCTCACGGGTTGTTACCTGGGATATAGCAATGTCTTAGTTAAATTCAGTAGCTCTGTATAGTCTGCTCTCCACGTTTGCTGGGATTAGGGCAGGCATGGGCAAACTTCTGCCCTCCAGGTGTTTTGGGCTTCAACTCCCACAATTCCTAACAGCCTCAGGCCCTTTCCTTTTCCTCCTCAGCCGCTTAAGCTTTCCCTTTAACTGCCATGGATACATCCTGTAGTATCCTGGGATTTGTAGTTTAGGGAGGGTTGCTTAAAATTATCTGTCTGAGAGCTCAAGTGCCTCAATAAACTACATAGGATGTAGGCTAGCCGCAGGGGGAGGAGGGTAAAAAAATAAGAATTATTATTATTATTATTATTATTACTACTACTACTACTATTATTATTATTATTATTATTATTATTATTATTATTATTTTACTGACACAAAAACACAGTATGTCACAGCAAACAAGATCTATATGCTGGATTTCGTATCACAAAATCACAAGTCAAACTCTACCCAAGTGTCTAGGACTGTGTGATGTATTTTCGAATGATGCGCACAGATCCAAGTAAGGTGGCCTTTTGCAGTTGACAGATCGTGTTTTTGTCAATGTTTGTTTCCGAATGCTAGCTGATGTCTTTTGGCACAGCATCCAGTGTGCCGATTACCACTGGGACCACCTGTACTGGTTTATGCCAGAGCCTTTGCAATTTGATTTTGAGGTCCTGATAACGGCTGAGTTTTTCCTGTTGTTTTTCCTCAATGCAACTGTCACCCGGTATGGCAAAATCAATAATTATCTATTATTATTATTATTATTATTATTATTATTATTATTATTATTATTATTGGCCCCAATCTAGAGTACAATATAATGCAGTTTGGAACTGCATTATATGGTCAGTAGAGATGCATATATTGTAATTTAACTTCATTGAACTGCATTGTATGAGTCTATACCTGGCATGGGCCAACTTGGGCCCTCCAGGTGTTTTGGACTCTAACTCCCACAATTCCTAACAGCCTTTCCTTTTCTCCTTCAATCGCTTAGGTGATTGAGGAGGGAAAGGAAGGGGCCTGAGGCTGTTAGGAATTGAGGGAGTTGGAGTCCAAAACACCTGGAGGGCCCAAATTGGCCTATTGGTCTACACTGACCACATAATGCAGTTTCAGTGGAACCAGTGGAATCAAAAGCCCTTTACATTTTAAGGCTTCAAAGAAGGGAAGCAACAATAGTAACAGTAATAGTAATTCACAGCATCCTAGAGCCAGCACATCCATATTCTGGAAGTTGCAGCAGAAGGAGCAACTTTATGCAGGTTTGATTTATTCCCAACAGGACTTCAAATCTATTACATGTTGGAGAGTACTGGCAACTCTTCAGCTGGGCTCCTGTTGCTCCAACTTTGACAGCAATTTAATCTGCATGAATTTCATAGCCGAGGCTTCCAGAACAGGAAGACAATGGCAGGAACATGAGAGGCTGCCACATACTGAGTCAATCCATTGGTCTTTTTTAGTTGCTATTGAAAGCTCTGACTGACAGCTGCTCCCCAGGTTTTCAGGCAAGAGTCCCTCCTTACCCAACTGGAAGAAGCCACAGACTGAACCTGGTAGTTTCTCCATGTAAAGCATGTTCTTCCCTGCTAAGCCATGTCCCTGGAGCAATCATTATTACCAATTACTCATTGTAAATCAAGCTTCCATTAAAGGCCTGAAGGCAGATGCTGGCTGGAATGCTGGAGACTGATAACCGTATGGGTACCATCCATGCTATTTCTCTCTCTCTCTGTTTTTTTTTTTTTTTTTTTTTGGAAAGGGATGGGAGGATTTCTCAGAAACTAGCATGTGGTTAGAGTATACATTCCTTCTTTGCATAAGTCCTGCCAAGGTTTTGCTTTTCGGGGTTATCACAGGCATGGGCAAACTTCAGCCCTTCGGATGTTTTGGACTTCAACTCCCACAATTCCTAACAGCCAGTAGGCAATCTTTCAAACAGAAGTGCCAGGGGAAGATGGACGCAACTTCTCTTGTGTTGCTCCTGAGACAAAGAATGCTTCTGTAGAATTAATGTAGCTTGACACCACTTTAACTCAAAGCTGTGGCCTTGTGGAAGTTGTAGTTTGGAGGGCCACCACCACTATTTGACCAAGGAGGCTAAACATTTTATAAATCTAGCTTCTATGATCCCATGGCATTGAGCCATGGCAGTTAAAGGGATATCAAACTGCAGTAATGCTACAGTGTAAATCTACCTAAGGACATGAACAAAGGGATTCAAATTACAAGGAGGTCCACCTAAGTATTTTGAAGAACGTCTTGATGGTCAGGGTTGTTTCCCAGTGGAAATAGATTCAGATTACAAGGAGGTCCTCCTAAGTATTTTGAAGAACGTCTTGATGGTCAGGGTTGTTTCCCAGTGGGAACAGATTCAAATTACAAGGAGGTCCTCCTAAGTATTTTGAAGAATGTCTTGATGGTCAGGGTTGTTTCCCAGTGGAAACAGATTCAAATTACAAGGACGTCCTCCTAAGTATTTTGAAGAATGTCTTGATGGTCAGGGTTGTTTCCCAGTGGAAATAGATTCAAATTACAAGGACGTCCTCCTAAGTATTTTGAAGAACGTCTTGATGGTCAGGGTTGTTTCCCAGTGGAACAGGCAGCCTCAGAGAGGGTGTTTAACGGCCTTCAACAAAGGTTGAATGGCCTTATTTTGGAAATGCTTTCATGGCATATTCCTACATGGCAGAAGATGGATTAGATAGCCCTCTTCCTGAGAGTCCAAGCTAATACACAAAACCTTTACCGTCCTTCTTTACTCCACAACATACACTCATACACAGTAGATTCATGGGTTTGTTGAATGTTCCTTGACATCCATACAATCTGGAGGTGAGGGAATCCATCTAAGTCAGTGGTTCTCAACCTATGGGTCCCCAGGTGTTTTGGCCTTCAACTCCCATAAACCCTAACAGCTGGTAAACTGGCTGGGATTTCTAGGAGTTGTAGGCCAGAACACCTGGGGACCTACAGGTTGGGAACTACTGATCTAAGTGTTTTTTTCAATCTGGTTGTTTCTGGGCAGGTGGAGGACACTTTCCCTCATCTCTTGGTTCTCTCCCAGCTTTACTCTTTGACTGTCACTCCAGCATTTGGGTTCCTGCTGGCGAGGCTGCCTTTCCTTAATCTGAACAGATGGTCCCAACCCAGAGGCCAGGAGATTTCTTCTGATTAATTACATTTCCAATTAGGCACCTTAGGCTTTCCTGGCTTCAACCCAAGCCCCAGCAAAGCCAGGGGAAGCAAAGCAAGTAAAAGCAAGGACCTGCAGCTCCAGTTCCACATGCTGCCGCCTAACAATCCAGGGATGTAGTTACAAGGGATGGGGGAAAATTAGAGTATTTCCTCCTCAATCACCAAATTTCTAGCATTGCAGGAACTTAAAACTTCAGGTATCCAAAGTAATGGGGCATGGAATGCTACGAAGGGAATGCACACACACACATACACACACACAAAATAAGAGTACACAATGTTCAGTGTGTTGTTTTCTGCAATTTGGGAGGACCGAACAAAAATACTTATGGAGGGGATATTATTTGGGGAAATTCCTTCATTTTCTTCTGTTATATTTACACACCTGCTGGTTCAACCACATCATGGCTGGCTGGGCTATTGAACCTGAAACTCCCCATAAGAGTTTGTTAGCAAAGCTTGGAGACATTACAGTTTGGGTTGGGGATAGACGGACTACAGCTCCCAAAATCCCCAGCTGTGAAGTGAGCAATGCTCACTGGGGGAACCTGGGAGTCAAAACTGACTCCCAAAAGGAAAGGAAACTTTACAAACCCTTCTGTGGGTAGATGGATGGGTGAAGATTCAACAGGTATCACTCACCTTTGTTCTCTGTTTTGAGTTCTTCATGAAGCAGGTCGTTCTGTCGATTGCCAAGGACAAAGGCCAGGAAGGAGAGAATGAGGGCATTCAAGATGCCAATGATGGCTAGGATGTAAGCCCAGCGCACAGAGCAGTCACCCAGTGAGTACTTTCCCGTCTTCTCCCCACACATGTCCCTGACGGTCTCTGAGTCCCAGCCATCTGGGAATATCATGCAGCCCAGCACCAGGCAGAGAGCTGGACAGACAAAAGAAACAGGGAAAGAAAGCAGTTAGTATCAAAAGATGATCTGTCTTATAAACTAGAAAAGGTTCAGAAACAAGGCTTCCATGGCTTTTTAAAAATGCAAACATTCACAAGACAATGTCTATAGAGGGTTCAAACATGTAGACAAAGCTCTGAAATTCAGTGGTGCACTCCATGATCCATCTTATGCTTGCAAAATGATCTCTAGTGCTTCTTCCTTTCCTGAACCCAGCTTGGGTATGTCATTTCTTGCTTCACGTATCAACTGGTCAATGTAAGCACTGTAATTTATTACTTCTGAAAAAAGAACAGTCCCCTTCTCTGATGAGAGCAGTGAAATGCAAAAGCTTAGTCCATCCTGGAAGAATAGAAAAGAAGCACCAATCCCTACTCAATCCACTGTGGCACCACTTCTGGCCTTCTTGAATGCCTGGGTGGGGAAATCATAGTGGTGGCCAGGAATGGCTAGACCAAAAGCAGCATAGAAGTTTTCCCTTTCTACAAAATAACCCTCAATTGACCTGCAGGTCTTACCAAAATCCATAATTTCGGTCCCAAAACCTGCCCTTGATTTATACATGTCAATATACGATAGTTCTCATCCTGGTACATAAGTTGATAAACACATACATTCAGGGCTATTTCTGTCTCCAACTACTGTATGCTGCTGAATCCCACCCATGCGAGAAAAGCGGGATAAAATTATTATTATTATTAATAATAATAATAATAATAATAATATATTTATTATTAAGATTTTTTTTTTGTTTAAATTCATATTATGTGGTTATGTCTTCTAGGGTTGTCAAGTTTTATTTTTTGGTTGATCTCTATTTGGTATTAAGTTTATATTTTTTTTGATGTGTATTGTTTTGATGTAATTTGTTAATATGTCTTTTGCCAGCGTTGAATGCTGGCCATATGTGTTGGAAACCACCCTGAGTCCCTTCGGGGAGAGAGGGCAGTCTGTAAATAAAGTGTTATTATTATTGTTTATTACCTTTTACTTTTGCTTCTCATCTAATGTAGGAGACCTTACCTGCAGCACTACTCCCATCAGAACAGCCTTTAGCCTTGCAGGAACATCCAATCCCATCATCACAGAAAGGCAGTATCTTGGTAAATATTAATTACCCAACTAAAATATATATTACTTCCAGGAAAATTCATCATCTATTCTCTCTCTCTGTCTCCCTCCTTCTCTCATGCAAGATGGAATATGGAATTCATTCTAGATTTTAATCTGAACTTTAAGGAGCTATCCAAGGTGTTTATTATTTATTAGCTGTACCTGCCAAATGTTGCTGTGGCCAACCTTCCCTCCCTCTTTCTCTCCTTCTTTCTTTCTTTCTCTCCTTTTTCTCTTTTGTCTTTCCTTCCTTCCTTCCTTCCTTCCTTCCTTCCTTCCTTCCTTCCTTCCTTCCTTCCTTCCTTCTCTTCCTCTTCCTCTTCCTCTTCCTCTTCCTCTTCCCTCCCTCCCTTTTCTTTCCCTTCCTCTTTCTCCCCTTTCTTCCATCTTTACCTATTCTTAGACTGAAACTCCCAGCAGTTCTCCTGATCAATCTGTCTACCTACCTATCTCTACCTAATCTATCTATCTGGAGGATTCCTGGGAGTTGCAGTCCAGGAATAGGAAATTAAAAATATGCAGGGATTGTGATGCTCTCAAAGAAATCCAAGGAGAAGAAAGCTTGCATCTTGGAAGCCGTGCATTTGGATCCTCCCCCTCTTCTAAAGGGCCTGGTCTAGTAGATGCTGGGAGTTGTAGTCCGGAAGAGAGTGTGGATATGCTATTGTGTGTTTTTGCACATGCACTGTAGCATCTTTTTGCTTTTTTGGCTTTTTAAACCCCTTCTGTTGTGTTTTTCAGCATTTTTATGAATGATGGTCACTCATTGGCCTGACAGGTATCTTGTGTCCAAACTTTGTGTCAATTTGTTCAGTGGTTTTTGAGTTATGTTAATCCCACAAACGAACATTACATTTTTATTTATATAGATTTGTTTACTTCATTTTTACCCCATCTTTCTCACCTGGTGGCTTACAGCTCAGGTAAGAATTCAATGCCAGTAAAAACCAACAATAAAAAATAAAAATATATCCCACAGTTAAAATTATTGACAGTTAATCAATAAAACACATGAAACAGTATACAAATTAAAAACATATAAGGTGCATAATTCTATTCATCCATTAACCTTGCTCAAATCCTTAATTCAGACCATGTCGAAACCCATACTTGTGTGCAAAGCCACGTCTTTAGCTTTTTTCTGAAAGCCAGAAGGAATGGGGCTTGTCTGATGTCACTGGGGAGGGAGTTCCACACGTGAGGAGCCACCACTGTGGTGTTCAGCCCTATTTCCCAATCAAGTCCAATAGTGTGGGTGGATCAGAGCCTGGGGGGATCAGAGCTCTGGGGGTTGCAAGGGTTGTCAGAGGGGTCGCCAAAGACCATAAGAAAACACAGTATTTTCTCTTGGTCATGGGGGTTCTGTGTGGGAGGTTTGGCCCAATTCTATCATTGGTGTGGTTCACAATGCTCTTTAATTGTAGATGAACTATACATCCCAGCAAGTACAATTCCCAAATGTTCACTATATCCCCCAAACTCCACCAGTGTTCACATTTGGGCATATTGAGTATTCGTGCCAAGTTTGGTCCAGATCCATTAGTGGTTGAGTCCACAGTGCTCTCTGGATGTAGATGAACAACTCCAAAACTCAAGGTCAATGCCCACCAAACCCTTCCAGTATTTTTTGTTGGTGATGGGAGTTTTGTGTGCCAAGTTTGGTTCAATTCAATTGTTGGTGGAGTTCAGAATACTCTTTGATTGTAGTTTAACTATAAATCCCAGCAACTACAACTCCCAAATGATAAAATCAACCCCCCCCCCCCCACAACCCCACCAGTATTCAAATGTGGGTATAACGGGTATTTGTGCCAAATTTGGTCCAGTGAATGAAAATACATCCTGCATATCAGATATTTACATTACAATTAATAATAGTAGCAAGATTACAGTTATGAAGTAGCAATGAAAATAATGTTATGGTTGGGGGGTGGGGGTCACCACAAAATGAGAATTGTATTAAGGGGCTGTGGCATTAGGAAGGTTGAGAAACACGGCTTTAAAATATGAACTATAACCCAGGGTCGATTCATTGCTCGGCTGATCTTAGAGCACCTAGGCCCCCCTGCAACCACCCCTCAACTAGGAGGATTGGCAAAAACAAAGAAAGGGTGGCCAAGGACACTGTTGTCTCTGTGAATCTAAAGGCCCTGTGTTTCAACTCATGAGCTTGGCCTCCAGGGCATCCTTGTTCCAGAGCAGTACAGGTGTGATCAAGAGTTTCTCTAGCAAGGCTGTGCATAAACAGAATCCCAAACATGTGCCTGAAATAACCCAAATTCTCCTCTTAATAGGGAACTGAGTTCTGCCCCTTCTCTCTCCCCCCCCCCCCACAACCAAATTATATACACATCAAATACATTTTCCATGCACGTGTGCACATATTCTCATGCTTGCCGGAGGGAAGAGTAAGGCGCTTTTCAGAGCATTCGCATCGTGCCACCCTCTCATCATGAGAAGCCTTGCTAAGTTCCCGTGGATGCTTTCTTTTGGGTACTCCCTTTATATCCATATGGGTTAGAGAACTTATTTTCAAAGGATAGAGATGAGCATCTCAGAATGCTGCATGTGTACTCAAAAAGTGTAGTTAGCACATTGTATTATAAAAGGCAGAAATGGATGAATTCAGATGCTTATTTAGATATTTTAGCACGAAAGGTAGATGGCTGCACTATAACTGCAGCAGTTTGAAATCGTTCTGAGAAAACTCTGTGATTAGTTTGCGTTAAGGTTACCATTAGTCAGTAATGGCTTGAACACAGATAACAATGTTGCCGATGGATGTGACTTTATAGCAGAGCTCGACAAATTGTGGCTTTGCGCTCACCCCAGGGCATGCTAGCCATCTCTGATGGCTAGCCATCTCTAATGTTCAAAAAACATCTGGAAGGCCACAGCTGCTGAACCTACATCTATAGCCAGTGGCTTTGCAAGACAGAAACCCTGTGATACACTGCAAAAATATATTTTTCAGTTGAAAATCAGCTGAAAATTACACCCTAAAAGTGACTAAAAACTTGTTTTATGTTTTCGCTTGTTTTATGTTATTTTATTTGAGTGGTTTGAATAAGTGTAGGTTTAATTCTATTTTAATATTTATAGTAGGTTTAAATAATTACATTGTTTTTAATGTTGTGAGAGCTGCTTTGGATCTTGAGCAAGAGAAGAAGGTAAGGTGGTAATAATAACAATAATCATCATCATCATCATCACCCAATCATAGAGTTGGAAGAGACTTCATGGAACATCCAGTCCAACCCCTGCCAAGAAGCAGGGAAATCACATTCAAAGCACTCCTGACAGATGGCCATCCAGCCTCTGCTTATAAGCCTCCAAAGGAGGAGCCTCCACCAACTCTGGGGTAGAAAGTTCCACTTCTGAACAGCTCTCACAGTCAGGAAATTCTTCCTCATGTTCAGGTGGAATCTCCTTTCCTGTAGTTTGATAACAGCAACAGCAACAACAATATTGTTATCTGTGTCCAGAGCCTAAATACCTTGGCCTGCACTTAAAAACAATCGGCGCTGACAAAATTACCATCTATCAGCTACAAAAGGCCACCCTACTCAGATCTGCATGCATTATTTGCCGATACATCACACAGTCCTAGACACTTCGGAAGTGTCCGACGTGTGATCAAATTTTCAAAAGCCAACAGAGTGATCTTGTTTGCTGTGTACTAATCTTGTTGTGTATCTAATAATAATAATAATAATAATAATAATAATAATAATAATAATAATAATAATAACAACAACAACAACTTGTGCCACAAATACTATCTGCCTGCAACACAAAAACTGGTGGGATCACAAGCTGAAAAAGTACCCAAAATGAACTTGTCAAACTATTCTGGGACTTC